GTCGAGTCTTATAGATGTTAAAAACACTGATGGAGGTCAAAACCGCATCTGACACCACAGTTAGTAGATGAGTAAGAGTAAACTGAATAATAAATATGTAACTCAGTTAATGATAGTTATTCACTGCATGAATGAATGTTAGATGAGGAACTGGTATTTAAGTGGAAAATTAAAACATTAAAGCTTTACTTTTTCAGAGATTCACTGTTTGCACAATCTTAAATGGATAGTTCACCACATAAATATGATTGTGACGATTATGAATTAACATTTTTGGGTCAATTATCCCTTAGCTCACATAAATTATCCCAGAGCATTATTTCAGCATCAATGATCATTCACAATAGTCACATCACAAGAAATACAAGGTTGAGTCTGGATTATAATTTAGCATTTGCGTGTGTTTCTGAGCCCTGCGACTGTAAAAGCATTCAGGTCTAATAAATTGCATAAATGTCATTTTAATAGCAAATCATTTTATTTAATTAAAAAAAATGAAGACAATAGCAGTATTATTTTACATTTGATTATTACATTACTGTACCTGAATACTGTTAGACTCGTTGAAAAACAACAAAGCTCTGTTCATTTTATTTCAGAATTTTATATTGTATTTATCTCTGCTCGTAGATTGTTTGTAATGTTTTATGCAGATGCACACCTAATATAAACAAATCACCCATTCTGTAATATGTTTTCTACAGCTATATGTATTATGATACAATAAACCACTTTTACTGTAAAAAAAACTAAAGTATACTACAATATTTATTACATTTTATTAGTTGATACAGAAAACAGAATGTTGTGGCACTCATAAAGAGTTGTAAAGGCTAATAAATATGGTATAATAATCTTTAGTTCAAAAACACTATTGATACTAATTACTGTAATTTTTTTATTTGTGATCATACTGCTGTTTATTATTATCTAATGTCATAAGGCTATGAAGTCAGTTTTTATTCATCATTCAGTTTTCCTCCACTAGAGGTCGCTGTGATGATCAGATTCTTCACAGCTCTGATTCTCTCAGCCCTCGCCGGGTTCAGTGGCGCGCGCCTGTAATCCAAGCTACAGGGAGGCTGAGGCTGCGGATCGCTTGAGCTCAGGGCTTCTGGGCTGCAGTGGACTATGTTGATCGGGTGTCCGCGCTAAGTTCGGTATCGATATGGTTCTCCTGGGGGAGCTCGGGACCACCAGGTCGTTTAAGGAGGGGTGAACCGGCCCAGGTCGGAGACGGAGCAGGTCAAATCCCCCATGCTGATCAGTAGTGGGATCGCGCCTGTGAATAGACACTGCAGTGCAGCCTGAGCGACACAGAGGGACGCAGACTTTTACACTAGTTGTTTTTACTCTGATATATCTTTCTAACAGTAAAAAGAAGTAATAAAGGTTTTGAGATGAATGACATGGCTGTGTATTAATAATTAGAAATAACTAAAAGTTTAGTTTTTTCGAGTGATGGGTTGCAGCTGGAAGGGCATCTGCTAAAAACGTGCTGGATAAGTTGGGGGTTCATTCCGCTGTGGTAAACCAACAAGACTAAGCTGAAAAGAAAATGAATGAATGAATAAAAGTTTATTTGTAGATTAGACATTTTATTTGTAAACAGAAATACAGAAATTATCTCAATTTCATGAGTATATTTTGAAAAGATGATGTTTTAGACAGAAATATGTTTTGCTGTGGTTACTAACTCATAAGTGTGGTCTATCAATATCGGGTGGTATTTTAAAAAATTCTAGAAGAATTTCACTAAAGTTCTCCCCGTGTTGGTGTGGGTTTTCACTGGTTGGTCTGGTTTCCCCCACAAGTCCAAAAGACATACGGTATAGGTGAATTGGGTAAGCTAAATTGTCTGTAGTGTATGGGTGTTTTCCAGTAATGGGTTGCAACATGGGAGGGCATCCTCTGCGTAAAACATATGCTGCATAAGTTGGCGGTTCATTCCGCTGTGGTGACCCCCGGTTAATAAAGGGACTAAGCCGAAATGAAAATGAATGATTGAATGAATTTCACTTTAAACATCATTTACACATTGTTACTTTGAACCCATCATCTGATATTTGGCAGCTCCATCAAGGGTTCTGCATTGTGTTTTCTTTTTATTGTGGGAATAACCAGACAGGTATCAGCAGTTGTGACGGCTCTTTATTCATAAGGTTTTACTTTTATTTGTTCATCCGTCAGGCTATAGTGATTATTGGCTTTAATGTATTTAGCCTTTCAGTATAGGCCTCCAGCAAAGTAGAAAGAGTTTGGCCTCATAAAATAATCCCCCAAACAGCTGTGAAAATTGACCAAAAACAATCAATTTTATTTTGTCACTAATTGATATATATATTCATCACAATGAAAAATATTTTTCTTTTTAGAATATTTATTAGTGATGCATGCAATGATTACAGAATAAACAAAAAATGCAAAGAATGGCAATGACTGATTTTTGAAATCTCTTTCAACAATTGCAAAAAGAGACTGAAAGGGCAGAAGCACAGCTTCGTCTGACAGAGGAACAACTGACTCTGACCAAACTGCAGCAATCCAAGGCCAAGGACTTGAGATCCGCCTCCTAAAGGCTACGCTCAGACAAGCTGCTCTCTCCACATCAGATGAGGAAGTCTGAGATTATTGTGGAGTTTTTGACATTAAGTCTTTTTTTTATTTACATCTATATTTGAAAACTTGTTATAAATATCCTCAATGTACAGTGTTTCAGGTATCAGATGAGTGGACTGCTGGAAGAGGATGCGGTGTTGTTTTTCTTGTTTTTATTATTTATTATTACTATTAATTTAATATTTATTAAGTTTTCATTTAAAAAAAAAAATAAAGTTATGTTGACCCCACGCTGGCTATTCTACTTGTCGCTCTTTACATATCTATAGGTCTACATTGTGATTTCTTATCCTGTTTGAGCACTGGTAATCCAGATTTAGTGATTCTGAAAAGTTCCTATCCGTATCAGTTTGATCCAATTCGATGTTGCTCTGAAAAACTGGCTCAAAAAGTAAGCTGGATTACCTGATCACGGATCGCAAAAACAGAATTACTAAATCTGGATCAATTTGATCCGGATTAAACCTTTTGAAAAAACGGGCCCAGCAGCTGACCGTTACAGATACAGCATGCAGCACCGAGGACCGTCTATCTCCACAGCTTCAGACATGGTTTTATGACAACCTTTGTAAATGTTTGCAATTAGGAATCCTTCTGCAGAAGACATGTCAGTGTTTATTTTTACGTAAACTGTTATTTTATGAAACATTTAATGTTGAGTGTTTATATGCATATTTTTATATATAATAAATGAATACACATTTAAATACATATGTTTGTGTGTTTTTGTTTCTCTGCTGAAGCACCGCAGTAAAAATTATCTTAGGGTCTCCTTTTGACCAGCAGCAACTCTGGTTAGTGGGTTCCCACTTAGGAAGAGGTCAAATTTCATTTTTACTGTTGATCATCAGTTGGCACCATTAAATCCTTTACATTGCCCCGTGCAAAAGCGTGTCTGACTTTTATATGGAGTTCTGTGGAGTAAAACTGCAATTTATAGAGTGCATGCATAAGTACACTTACTATGTTTACTATGTTCTGACAGCTGAGGTGCCCATTTTGTATTTTCTCCTACACATCAATATATGTGTGTAAAAGTCTCTCTTACAACCTCACACACTCACTAAACACCAAATAAAAGCAAGAAATCAAGCTTTTTTGAACTGTAACTGATGATCACCAGCAAAAATCACAAATCTTACCACTTTCCAACAGGAAAAACCACCAACAATCAAGAATGCATGATTATACGCTGTCATGACGTTGCATTTAAAAATAATGGAAATCATTTGGGCAAAAACAGCCATGAACACAATGAAAGGGTGGTAAATTTGCCCAGAGTGTATTGTTGAGTTTTTAAAAAATTCTAAAAGTATTTTCCCAAAATATGTGTCAACAAGATTTGTCACCAAAAATCATCCCATTTGCTGAACCACAGAGAAAGTTGTTGGTAAATTAAGCCTCAAAATCAGCCCAGAGTGGACCAAAACTTCACCAACAGCACAGAAGGGTTAAACACCCCCAAATCCTTGATGGGATGGTTCTAAGAGGCAGTGCTCACTTCTGGACAGAGGGGCAAGTGTAGCAAGTAGCAAGTGGAGATGTTTTAAACCTTCAGCTGACAGCCAGTGTAAGTGGAGAGGTAAGAGAGGTGTGACGTGGGCTCTCTTGGGATCATTGAAGACCAGATGAGCTGCAACATTTTGTTTGGCCAGGATTGATTAGATGAGCATGTCATCGGTGTAAACCAGAGATGCCCAAACTAGGGCCCGTGGGCCAAAGTGGATCCACGGTAACCTTTGATTTGGCCCTCCATCCCATCTGAGAAGAGAGGGAGAATGATGGGGAGTTTTGGGGGAAAGTCTTTAACAGAGATTGTCATTTCTAATACAACATAACTTTGTTTTTTAACTGTTGAGATACAAAAATAAACAAACTGAAATTAAACGTTTCAATGAAATGTTGTGAATGAATCAAATTAAATAATAGTCACTTGAAGGAGAGCAGACATTACAGAAGACATCAGCAAGCGAAGGCAAAGTGTATTTTTAGTGTTATAAATGGGATTGTTCATGTTTTATTGTAAGACTTTCATTCATTATAAAATGTATAATTATTAATACAATTAAATAATTTTAAATGTTGTAAATTACAGTATACAGTGAATTATGTAAATTATATAATGAATAATAATAATTTTACAGTTTGGTAGATTTACCTCCAGCCCACCACCCTCAGACGAGTTTAGTTTTTGGCCTTTCATAAGAAAAAGTTTCCCTGAAGCACCTCTGAAATAAACTTTAACTAAAAGTTTTAGATTCTGAGCAGGACAGCACACTGGTTCTCCCGCAGCATGTTTTGTTCATCATTTCTATCTTAATGTGTTGATCATTTTCTTTTGTGTTTCTGTATTGTGTGAAGGTCAACCAGTCCACAGTTTATGCTGCTATAATCTTTATTCAGTTTTATTCATAAACTATGTACAATATATACACTGTGCTCACGTCGGCTCCAGGTCTCTTGGGTGAAGGTCTCTCAGTGACGTGGTCTCTTCTGGTCGCCGTGCGTCTCTGGTGGAGATGGGGAACGGGAACGTTTCCCTCTGGCGTCCTGGACTGCAGATGCTGCACCAGCTGAGGAAGAGGAGGACAGTGGCTTGGTCTGGCAGGAGAAGGACGGCCTCTTTTTCTTCTCAGCAGCATAGGCCTCACTGAACAGATCAAGCGCAAACACACACAAGCAGACATAATGTGAGATTTTCACAAACACTAGAACATGCTGCAATGCCAAGTACAGTTTACTCACGCGTCTATGATGGGAATGACGTATTTGCCGCTGCCGTCCATCATGACACCCTTTCGGTTTGGGTCGTCCACCTCCAACAGGAAGCTGCGGGGAATCCCTGTGCTCCTCCGGATGCGCTTGTGCGAAGCAGAGCTGCTGCCCTGTGAATTCATGAGTGACAGTCAAACGACAGAGCAAACAATCTGACTGATGGAGACAAGAGCTCAAGTTCACAGCAACCATAAGCTTAGAAAACCCAGTTACCCCTTTAGAGGGGCAGTGCCTAATGTGGTGTCCTGGGATCCCACAGTGAAAGCAGACATAGTTGGGTGGAAGAAGCCCAAGCAGTGTCATGGCCTCACTGATAAACATCAGAACCATGAGAATCAGCTCTAACATTTCTCACAAACCAAACCTGTCAGTGTCTGAACGCTCACCTGCTGGAGTAGTAGCACAGACTGGACTGGTACATCACCGCTTTTAGCTTGTCCTCCTCTGATGCCTTTGCCTCAGCCAGATTCTCAGTCTGTTTCACAGGCATTTGCACATTAGAATTTTATTTTACTGGTCTGTCTAAGAAGCTGTGTGTGTGTGTGTGGGGGGGGGGGGGGGGGGGGGGGTGTTTTACACTGTGTATTGATATTCTGCACTACATGTCATTATGACTCCTCAAATGCAAACACTGCAGTTCAATACAGAGCAGCACAGTGGGGTGAATTAATCATTTGTTCAATACCTTCAACAGCTGCTCCAGTGAGAGGAGTGAAGAATCACCTGTTTGAGAAGATTTAGCTGATGGTCCAGCTTGATGTCTGCAAAACAAAGGAGCTTGTGTGACTAAAACACCACAGACAGACTCAAACTCTTGATATAACATCTATCAGAGGATGATTGCGCTCATTTCACATGACTTACCCAACAAATCTTCTGTTGGAGGACTTCAGTCCAGCCGCAGGGACCCGTCTGATGATGACCGACGTGTTTTTGGGGATGAGAGCATCATCATCTGTGTATTCTGACAGCAAAATAAAGTTTGAATATAGCAATAATCATTTACCATGGTATACTTTGAGTGCCATTAGCATTTTAAAACACTCAAAACATCACTATATGTCACCATCAGAGTCATGATAACACATGTCAGCTTCTACAAGTCTGTCTGATAACACATCTAATGTTAGTGTAGTAACTGTTATAGTTTAAGTGGCTTTTCCTCATCTCACCTTCATCAGTTTGGGCTTTGCTGATCTTCAGCTGGCAGAACTTCAGCCTCTCGCGCCTCATGATCTGCCGCTTCAGCTCTCCCACAGTGATGTTGAGGCCCTCAAACTGGAGCGAGTCGTAGGTGAGTCGACTCTGAAACCTGTAATGAACACAAGACATACTAAACAAAACACAGTGTGATAACAAGGGTCAAACCTGAATGAAGGGAGCAGCAGGCGATCAATCGATGTATCCAACAATCAATAATATCAATAATCTGGGAATCAGTTGCCACGAAGGACGCCGAGATCAGATGCCAATGACAGAGCAAGTTCAAAACAACACAAAAAGAACCGTTGTCATGGATGCTGACGATCACGTGACAAGGCGCTAAAAAACTTCCGCGTTATTTTCTCATTAATAATAGTGAAATCATTACTATGATAATAATAAAATAAACAGCAGAACAGTTGGCCATCTCTGAATAATACACAGTGGCGTTTCCTTACACGAATGATTCAGGACTCTGTATAAAGTCGGGCGAGTCACTGAATCAGTGATTCGTGGCTGAATGAATCACTTAAAGCTTCACTCGATTAAAGCGGTCTCTTGCTGCCACCTATTGGCGATTTGTTTTTCCGTTTTAAAGTTTTTTTTTTTTGTTTTTTTTTTGATGGTGCAATATATATATTTTTTTTTTATTATTAGATCTTATAAGAACATACAGAAAAAAGAACAAATGACCGAACAAAGAAACATCTTATTCATCTAGAAAGTCCAAATAGCAGCATTCACACAAAAAACAGATAAAAAAACAAATAAATATATATTTAAAAAATAATAAAATTGAAATAAATAAAAAGCAAAATACAATGCACTATAATACAAAGGGGTTAATCATCAAAAAATGCCTTTAACAGACTACACAGTTTAAGGGCTTTTTTATGTCTCATCAGCTTTAAGGAATTGAAGAAGACCATTAAATCCTTGTGGAAACGCAGAAAAGTGGGGGGGGGGGTTATTAAAAAATCTGCATTTATGAATGAAATAGTTTGCCAAAGTCACAATATTGTTAACCAAAAATTCCAGCTCAGAATTCTGACAAAAAGATCAATATTTTACAGTTTTAAAATCAAAATCAGGTATTACATATTTTAATCTTAACCAAACAGTAATGTCATCCCATAACTTTTTTGAAAATTTGCATAAATAAAACAAATGTTCCAATGACTCTATGTCTGCTTCACAAAAGGTACAAACGTTACAATCCAAATTAAATCTGTGTCTGAGGAACTCATTACAAGGATAAATATCGTTAATAATTTTAAACTGAACTTCTTTTGCCTTTGGTAGAAGTGGAAAAGAGAGAAATCTTGTTCGAATTCGAACCACCTTGTCTTCTGGAAAATCTAAAACAAGGGGTCTTTTCTTAACTTTAGAAGGGAAAAGCTGTGTATTTACTAACCTTCTTAAGGTCTTATTATTACAGCTCTGCCCAGTAAAATTAATACCAGAAATAAATAAGGTTGCCCAATCTTGGTATCACAGAAGAATAACCCAATTCCCCTTTGATTAGCTGAACCAAACCACCAGGAATAGCTTTCAACAAAGACAAATACAATTTCTAAGTACAAATAATATGGTATTTTTCACAAAAATCATCATAATTAAGGAAATTTCCAACCCCATCCAAAATTTGTAAAATAGACCAAACACCTTTGTCCATCCACTCTTGAAAAAACACAGATTTCCTCTTAATAAGTATATACTTATTATTCCACAAAGAACAGCTATGTGGCGAAAAATTATGTTTGTATATTAACTTCCAATACAGTAATACCTGACTATGAAAAGATGACAATTTACACTTTAACTTTGATGGCTCAAAATCGCATCTTAAAAGAAAGTCTATGCCCCCAAAGAAATCAAAAATTTTAGAAGAAAACTTAAACCAGAAAGAATGTTTATGTCGAAGGAAGGTTTGAAGCCACTTCAGCTTAAGGGTACCATTCATAACATCAAAATCAATTACATTCAATCCACCTTCAATGATTGGTTTCACTACATCTGATTTTCTTAGAAAATGATGCTTATTTTTCCATAGAAATTTATATTGCATTTGATTCAGATTTTTAACGTACCTATCACAAATACTTAAAGAAAAAGCTGGGTAAATCATCCTGGAAAGTGCTTCTGACTTTTGTAAAACAATTCTACCAAAAATAGATAGATCCCTTTGAACCCACAAATTTAATATTTTTTGACTTTTTATCAAATTATCCATCAAATCAGCTTTTTCCCTATCTTTAGGGTCTTTAGAAATAACAACACCCAAGTATTTTACCTCATTTTTAACTGGAATATTGAACAGTTGTGTTTCGGTATGGTTATGGATTGCCATAAGCTCACATTTTTTTAAATTCAATTGCAGACCAGAAGCATTTGAAAAATGAGACACCAGATTAATGGCAACTGAAATCTGCTCTGCATTACTGAGAAACAGGGTGGTATCGTCTGCTAGTTGACTTATTATTAATTGGCATTGCCCCCCTCAGAAAGAGTTTGTGCCCCCCCAGTTTTTATAAAGGACTCAAACTGAAAATTCTTTCTGTCATTAATTATTAACACTCTCGTCGTTCCAACCTTAAGAACACACATTTAAATATTTTAAAATATATGACATAGCAATTGAATTATGAAAATAGTGATATTAAAGCTAGTCCTATAGTTCAGAGATCCGGTCCCCGCGTCAGGTCAGGTGCGGCCGTAAATAGCCTTTAAAACGCGCACACGGCGATGGAGGCGCACTCAACTCACAACGGAGAAAAGTGGGTGACATGATAGGAGCAGCTTAATTCATTACATGCTTTGGTTAACTAATTATTTAAACACAACTCTCTTGAGCTCTAAAAGGAAAAAACATATAAGAAATTTGCTGTTAAATTAATTTTAGCAGAGACGCAACTGCCAGTCATTTAGTTCGGGAAGATGTAGCCTAATAAAAATGTTTTAATAAAAACAAATAGTTTACTGCACAGTCCCACAGTAGGCTACACTATAAATAATATTTTAATTTTATTTATTAATATTATTATTAATATTATTACAATTAAACTAAAATTGACAAAACGCAGAACCCTTTGAATGTTTGCTTTCATTTTGCTAAAAAGCGCACTTTTACAGTTGTGTAGAGAAACATCCCATTATGCAGCAGCAGTCAAGGAACACATAATAAATGCCTTTTGCGTTTATTAAGTCAAGTTTGCAGTGTTATAAATGGAATATAGTGCTTAAGTGGATTTATCGCGGATCAACTGAGAAACCTCTCACGCGCTGCAGGTAAGCAGAATGATAATCTTTTAAAAATATGTCATTTAGGCTATACAGCTTTTTGCTCATGCAAAATTAAACAAAATATATTGTAGATCTATTTTAAGAGCTAAAATACAACATATCGAGTTTGTTTTGACTTGTAGCTCATGGCCCTAAAATGAAAATAACCTGAAAACAAGCTATTAAAAAAGGCTTAATAAATTAAATAATTAAGAAATAAAATTACGGTAGGCTTAGTAACCTAATGGTTTATGATGGTTTTACAATTTCACGAAAAAAACACACTTATGATAGCCTAAGATAAATCTTTGTTTTTACATTTAAAATCATGAAAAAAAGTTATATAGCATATTGAGTGTTATCCATGCCAAAATTTAACCATTTTTCACTTTAATAACGTGTGAATTTTGGTATCTTTTTAGGTATTTTTCTGGCTACACTAATGCCTTAAAATGAAACTAAGTAATTGTTTTAAATGACATTAAATTGTAACATTTAGCTCTTCCCTAACAATGATGTTGGTTGGATAATACGTGAAGCGGGATGACTCGGTTGAGCTGATTTTACTATATTTATTTACCGGTTAAATGAATAGTCTGATCGTGGGTCAGCTTGCATACAACTGCATATTGTTATTACTATTAAAACGTAGCCTATATTACTGCCTTAGTTCAGTAACTTGGGCAGTAATGCAAAGTAATAATAAATGTGAATAAATAGCCTAAATGAAAGAAACAGAACAAAATGAGTCACCAGGTCTAGTGCCCCCCTATGGATTTAAAGTGCCCCCTCAGTTTTGACTTCCTGGCGCCGGGCCTGGGAGGAAATGATAAATGATGAAGTAAAGTTGACTTTTTATTGGTCTTATGGCACTGTTTGGATAAAAATAAACAGCAGTACGGTCCCAAATAAAATATAGTTATTTAAACTAAATACTATAGTATTTTAGAACCACATAGTAAAGTTTATTGTACTGAATAGTTAATCACAATGTTGTGCTATTTAAAGGCAACTGTGGTGCAGAGTCGGGTTGGAAGAAACTCCAAGCATTTCTGTTTTCGCAAGGTTAAGCTGAAGATGATGATCTTTCATCCAGTGTGAAATGTCCGACAGGCAGGCTGAGATGCGAGCTGGAACCGAGGGATCATCAGGGTGAAAAGAGAGGTAGTTGGGTATCATCAGCATAGCAGTGGTAGGAGAATCCATGTTTCTGAATGACTGGTCCTAGAGATGTCGTGTAGATGGAGAAGAGAAGTGGCCCAAGAACAGAGCCTTGAGGTACCCCAGTGTTTAGATGCTGTAGGTTGGACACCTTTCCCCTCCAAGACACCCTGAATGACCTGTCAGAGAGGTAAGATCTGAACCATTGAATAACAGTGCCTGCAACGCCCAGTGACTCATATATATTATATATATATAATGATTAATACATATAGAAACAATATTTTCATAACTAAATTATTTATGATTTGCCGTTTAACAGCGAAACATCTCGTCAAATAGGCCACAGTTCATCAGGAAATGAAAAGCTTTTAAATGACAACAGAAAAGCAGTTCAGCGACTGACATTCACTCATTCAGTGAGTATCTCATTTATTCATTCATTCATTCACTAATTGAATCAACACTTTTTCAGTCACTAAATATGGTGTCAGATGCAGATGTGGCCTCTAGTGTAATCCACAGTTCATATATTGCACAATGACGCTAAAGGCCACCATATTATAAAATACTGCAGGTTGTTGGTTGCAGATTAATAATCACAAACATAATTTTTTAATCATAAAACAGCTAAAACATATTTAGTGTTAGAGAGGACAAAGTGGTTTTAGTTTACCTTTTATCTT